ATGTACCCAAACTTAACAAAACCGAAGTCTACACATTCCCTTTTTCACAAAACAAACATAATATATTTAAGAAGGGAGAAAGCAAAACTGATATTGCAACGGAGTAAAACAAATCTTTCTTACAGAGACACAGATACCGATTATATGAGTTACAATATGTCCTTAAGTACATGTAAATACCGGCCTCATATCAGCCACCAATTAGCGGAAATTTATTGATGTGATAATAAAGATATAAACCAAGTTGACGGAATATTAGCGTTAGTCACAATCAAACCTGTGAATGATGTAGATGGCAGTGTGAATTGTGATTGTCATATTTTTATCAAAAATATCTCATTTATATACTTTTCTCTTGGGTTAAAGTACAGCTTTTCTCCATGCTTAAGATCAAAAAACCCAAATATTTGTAACTATGTACGTGTCGCTGTCGTCAGTATGCGCCATTTCTTAAGTGGAGCTTTCACTAAGAGTCTTACAGTCTAAAACCATAAAATTTGAAATTCTAATATAGATTAAATGGGGCACCTAAAAAAAAGGGAAAATACACAAAAACTTGTAACAATGTTACTCAAGTATTAAAAACTGAAAATCTGTTTTCGTGTGAAACATTAGCACGGTTTTGAGTTAAAACAAGATGGGCTCTTCAAAAAGTCCTAATTTAAGAAACTGTTTTTTTTTGCCTTCAAAAGTCATTAATCATTTTCGTATATAAAAGTGCAGTACGCTATATTTTCACTGAATCTATTCTTTGTGTTTAAAGGAAATGATCTATGAACATAAAATTTGAAGAAAAAAAAAAAACAATCGACGTGCCATTTTCGTCTGTTACAAAGATGGTTTAAAATAAAGTGTGTTTGAAGAAGGGGGAAAACTGTTTAGAGAAGGCTTTTTTTGTTAATACCACATAGTGAATTTTTACATAACTATTAAAAAATCAATGATCCAGTGCACCGGACAGTTTAATTCAATCAATACAAGAAATGGATATTTGCTCTGACTCACTATGACAGCTGTATTTTCATAGTCTTAATAAGAATCTTAAGTACAACGAAGATGCAATAAATTGATTTATCACAAGATGTACTTTTTCGAAATAATATACTTTTGGTTCATTGAAGGTAAACGAATGGAAACAGAATATGAGGTGAAAAAAGAAAAGGTCCATTGTAAAGTTGACCCTCTCATTAAATCTGGACATTATATGGTAGGAAAAAGTGTAGATATACTAGAATAGATAAAACAAAATCCCTAAAGTAAGCCAAACACGTTCCAAAACTTAAAAATTATTGACCATTCAAAAGAAAATGTGGATTATTCGCTATTGAGAAGTAGTCGCACACCATTTCGTTTCTGTTATTGCTCTATTCCTTGTCTGTAAATATAATGTTGTTGTAAATAAATTCTTGCTTGTGATTTGGTTACAGAACAAAACTCAAAGCATTATCAAAGTTTGACTGTGATTTTCCTTTACTTTAATTGTGCCTTTTAATGTCCCTGTTTTATAAAAAAAATGTTATCTTTCAACTGACTGTTTGTGGAACAAAAGATGATAGGAAAGTTTTAAATATTATATTGAACTGAAGTAAAACTACTTCCAATAAAGAGAGTTGTAATAGTGTGTTCTTCTAAATTTTTTTACTAGTATAGGAAAAGAATAAACATTTTGGTGGGGTTGAATGTTTTAAACTTCACTAATTTAAAATTCACGCGGTCTAACTTTCTTAAATATGGCACAGTTAAAAGTTTAATTTCCTTTCGATATCAGTCATGTTTCATATCCCATACCATACAGTTATCTAAGAACATGATTTACATTTAGTAATTTATTTGTATTTATTGTCCGAAAGGACCAACTAACGTTTACTAGAACATTGAAACCGAAGTTTATTTACATAAAATATTTTTGGTTTTTTTATTTATCTATTCCGTGGAAATAACCTAGGTTAATGGCTTTTGATATAAACAAAAAACATACATTTAATGAAGCAGGTTTAGAGCTGAAAAAAGGTTGGCCATCTGTTTCTAGGGATGGGAAAACTGTTTGACGACAGCTTATGTAAAAATTACATGATGTGTACTGTTTTTATTGCTAATAATTTCGTCTTTAAATAATGTTTTCAATATTCAGTTCAGTCCTATATGTACAAGACTTGTTTTTAAAAATAAATTTAGTTGACAAAGTTGTTTGTCAATTCATTCTTTTATATAGAAAATTTTAACGTTAAAATAGTTTATAAAATTAGTTTTCGCCTGTTCAGTAACCCATATGTTATTCTTCGGTTGACAATTGTTTTTAGCTTATTTATCAAACGTTGAAAATTTTATCGGTAAGCATGGTCGATTTAATACACTAACAATAAATAAACTAAAATGTCTCCAACCAAGAAATACAAGTTTATCTGACATTTATTTCTTTATACAGAAATTCTTCATTCACTGTGTCATTTCAAAACCAATATATAAAGACTTTTAACTTTGTTTATGATATATGAACAAAGGTTTACAAACTGAACCGAATGTTTAGAAAAGCATGGCATATAAGATAGTATAACAACGCTATAAATAAATTTGAGTTTATTGTATAATGCCCTTTAATGCATTGTATAGTTTAGTGATGTGCTTCAAAACCCAAAAGTATATGATGTTTTGTTTTATATACAATATCTTTTATATGTATAGCTATATAGTTGAATTTCTGTCCTTTAGTTTTAAGGCTTATCATCATAGCTAGCAAATTCGTGTATTATACCAAAGACGGGCGGGAACTGACGTTTATATTGACTCTTTCCACTGCTAAAACAGACAGGACAAATAAATTAAGACGTAGTCTAAAGATCATGACTGTATAACTATAAATGAGATGACCAGGTAAGCAACACATTTTTTTTACTAAACATGAAATATGTGTGCATAATGTAGGCAATCCTAGCACAATATGTGCCAGGCTAGTACACTTATGTCTTTAGTGAACATTCCTTGTATTACTAGACTACTAATGATACATGTTTGACATAAGACTTCAGTAAATATTTTTTATTTCTTTTGTTTTGTCATAATTCAGTAAATTTATATTTGGTAGACATTATTCTTGCTTCTAAAAGGATCCCACGAGTTTTGTCTGTCGTAGCCAATCAAAGTTGAACGGTTGTATGTATTGAATAAAATAGAAATTGCAATTATGTGTCTGGTAGAGAACAATATCTCCACTTCTACGAGAGGTGAATAAATGTTTGAGAAATATGATGCATTGTTAAAAATTGTTCATACAAGGCTTCACTGTACAAGAGCTTTGGCGGATGCCTACGGGAGCATTTCCCTCAGATTTATTTGCTCATTTTTATCGAGCTTTGTGACAAACAACCAGGCGATCTTGAAATACCTGATTCTTTACTCTGTTATTTAACCACCAGCTTAACAAAGTTGTATAACATATCATTTTAAATAAAGTCAAACATGTTTATTAAGTGATATTTGTTGAAAATTCCAAAACAATCACTGGCACAGTATGATTTGATACAGTTTCCCTTTTTCTGCAAAAAGCTCATACCACAGCCAAATGATCAGAATTTGTATGATCATTTATATACTCGTGTTACACACGGCTTTTGTATGGTAAAGAAGAATTCCAATATATAAACGGTTTTCTAGAGAATATTACCTTATTTGTATAACAAAACTAAAACTGGGCCAAGTCGATGTTTTATTAGTAATGACTTTGACCTCTGATATAATGTAATCTTATAGCCAGTTTTTAATATGAAACTTTTTGTCACATAATAAGACACATGGTGTCTCATATACTGGTATGTGATGCTGTTCTATATTATACTATCTGTAACAAGTTTTAGATTAAACATCATGTACACTTTAAAGTGTTCTGTATGACAGTATGTATAATGTATTGAGATTAAATACGGGAACTTATAAATTCAGACAAGAAACGTATACATGTATAGAAACTTGTTCATGTATATAAAAATTTGCAGATACTATTCAAATTGGCTACGTTTTTCATTTTTCATCAATCAAGGGGAAACTGCAGGATTTGATTGGTTTCCTTAAAGATCTTTGAATTTTATTGGCGATGGTTTCTACTAATTCAACTTCATAACTCTATGACACTGCCATATGGCACCATATATATCCCATAACGTCGTGCTGTTAACTGGGCGACAAGTCCTAGAATAAATTCTGGTCTCTAACTCATTATAGCTGGTATTCGAGGTAGGCACTTTCTTATTAAGCCGCCACTGCAGTATTATTTTGACATGTAAGCATATAATGCAAAATAATGTCATCCTGGTCGTGTGGTTATTGTCATAGGCACTAGGTTTTGGGATAAGAACCATTTTGAGACGTTGTAGAACTCAAATTTGATTAAATTTAACTATTTTTAACGAAAATGTGTCGATGATGATGAATTGTTTTTAGTAATTTTAGTAACATCAGAAAAATGACGGTTTTATAATCGAGACATCTACGTTAAAAATCGTTACATTTAATCAAATTTAAGTTCTACATACCAAAGGTTTTTATCCCTAAACCAAGTGCCTGTGGTTATTGTTTCTGATTTGCTTGTTTCTGACTAACTAATCACTGTACTGCACTTTCCCGGACGTTGAATTATTTCGTATGCTGGAATACCTTAGAAAACCTCAGTGGTTTTATCAAGGTACGCATTTCTCTCTGAATAAGCATGAAATAAGGCTGTTTTAATGAAATAAAGGGGTGGGGGTTAATTCGAATCGCCTAATTCTGAACTAAGGTGTAGAGGTAAGGTATTAAAATTTAAAAAGTCTGAAATAAGGTATTGGATTATTTGAAACGCCTTATCATAAAAAGGGGAGTAAATCTAAACGTCCTTTCTGGAATAAGGGAAGTAATTCAAAACACCCAATCGATTTCAAGAACATGTGTTTTTAGGTGGTGTTGTTGTTCGGGCGTTATTGATAATATATAGTAGCATAATTCTATTTAAAAAATAAGAAAGACAAATATCAATTAACAATATATTTTATTACAAACTTAGAAATATCTCATAGTATAAACAAAAACAACTGTGTATTATAATATAGTATATTTATGATCCACAACAAATGTATCCATTGTTTTATAAGTTCCATATTTACTAAAATTGACGTCATTATGCTGCACCGTATCCGTGGTATCCATTCTTAACTAATGCCAGCGTCTGTTCTATTTATAGAACGTATATAGATTTCCAGGTACATTAAATCAAGTGTTAAATGTCTAAGGTAAGACTTTATGATAAGTATACTAGATAATGTGTACTTTTATAACATTTACATCAAATAAAGTAAATTTTTAAGTTACCGACAGATTTTTTTTCAGGATTTCTACAATAATTTATATGATTCATTAAATTAATAAAAAAAAGTTGAAATAAAAACAAGTATGTACGTAATAACCCACAAAGTTATATCCTAGACAAATTCGCCCTCAAAGTGAAGCATAAAACATTAACCCACCATTTAGTTTGAAATTCAGGGAATTGGTGCTATAAAACGTACGCTAATGACCAAACAGCTCTGAAATTTTTAAATGTAAATGTTATTGATAGTTATTTCTAATTTTAAGTTTTAACGGTTTTGAAAGTATCTAATTATAGCAAGTTCATGTATTTCCCTTTTAATCTCAAAAAGATATCAGATACTCTTTAAAAGGGTCACAAAAAACTACAAAAAGATGCACGCCCTGATTTCAACATAAAATTATACCAATTTGTGTCACATACTATAGTTAACTATCACAGATTCACTTATAAATCATATAAAACTCCCAAAACTAGTCCTACCCGTCACTAGTTATACAAAGTCCTGTATATATTAATTCAATTGTAACAAACTAACATAAAATGTAGGAACAAATATCCTATAAAGCCAGAGAAAAAGGAAACTCCGTAGAAAAACATTATCTTACGTTAAGTTCACCCTAAAACCTAACTTAACATTAGTTCTTACTGGAAATGTAAGAAATTTAAGTCACGTAATATAAATATATAGGGAATCATACTGTGTGTAGGAAAAAAGGTTCAAACGTATTCTTCTACAGTACAAATATGTTCAATGTTTTATATCATGTACGTCATGTGGACTGTTATACTTTGTAAAAATAAAAAAATTCTTATATTTTTCATAATTTACAGGAATGATCGCACAAGTATCAATCTTAGAATAATTACTTTCAATGCCTACATAATTACAGCATCACCAACAAATGCTAATTTAATGTTCCACCCACACGAGCACATGTCTGGGATCATTGTACTTAAAATTTCATCTGTATCAATAAATAAATAAAATGTGAACTATCGTACATATAGCATAACTTACAGACCCAATCTTTTTCCTAAACAGTCAACAGGATATTTTCGAATAAAACGCTCCGTAGATATAACAAGCTGTCGTACTTTGCATTATCCACGGATCAATATTTCCAATTATTTGTAGTTGGGAACGTAGGCGAATAGAAGTTGCTTAGCTAGCAAGATTTATTTCGTTAACGATCTCGCTTACACCTTAAACAGCAAACTGTTGCTTTTCAAACTTGCAACAGATGGTGAACAATACCAGATACTTAACTTATATATGTAAATAGTAAAATACATTGGATGATATATATATTGATCTATTTGGTTGGGTCTATATTGATCTGTTATAAACGTTTTTAAACTTTTCAGTCACATTTTTTATTTTATTTTACTCTTACCCTGCTATAAGTGACAAAGTTTTGTCACAAATATAGAACCAGGCTGGTCTACACATGTGTAGTCTCTCCAGACTCTATATTGTTCCTTGACTAACATGAAATCTTTGATTTTGATATCCCCAAATTTGATAATGGACAGTTCCAAAAATAGATGTTGGGCAAATCCATTTAAGAAATTCAGCAGGTTACGGATAAACGTAATACATTTTATCCAAAGAAATAGTGTATTATTTGACATCATTAACACACCTTCCTTGTTCATTTCTCAACTTCCTTTGTTTGAAAATATCTAAACATATCTTCTCAATTGATATTATTTAAATTAAAATTCATAAGTAACGTATTGAAATGTTTAATGGACACATTCTGACGTACTTTTATCTTAATTAATAATAAAACTACGGGAAAACCAATTTGGTCTTACAAACAGAAAAATGACACCCCCTCAAGGAGAAAGGACAGTCAACCTGTGATATAAAAGCATTTCTTCTATTGGACACTTGGAAATAACGAATGTCTCTGAATGAAGTAATAGGATGAATAGCAAGTAATTTATCTTACAAGTGTGTGAACATTGCGTGGTAAAAATGAAACCATGATTGACAAATCAGCAAAGAAAAACAAATGCCGAATGCCCACATATTTAACAGAATATTGGCGTTTTTAAACCGGAAGTCAATATTCTCAGACAACGTATGTACGGGACAGCATATCCCACACCATATTGCTCTCATTAATTCAATACCCCGACTATATAACGTATAAAACAAGTCCAAACAGTTTGAAGCCCATAAAAGGGCATGTCCTGTCTAAAATCTACAAAATAGCTAGACTAATAAAAGCGTTTTTAATAAATGAACTGATTTTAACAATATGAAAATAAATTATCAATATATACAATTTGTCACAAAAACAAATAACCAATATATAAATACACGATAAATATTTCTTATATAAGTATAAATATATATATATATATATAACCTTCACCACTATGTAACATCTATATATACAAAGTATGTAAGGAATAATAAACATTATGTAAAAATCTACTGTGTTTCTCTGGCAACATACATGTACACATAAACTTTAAAACAGTTCCCATATGACACATATGCTTAAATAACAATAGTAATGAGAAAATTGAAGCTGCATGTATATAAATATTCGAAGCGTTGTGTACATTTAAGACCTAAAATGACAACGGCAAACTCCGGAATTATACGAATGCTTACGGAAATATTTTTGACATTTTTCGTCTGTAACTGGTAGACATAATCAAAGTTAAACTTTGTGCAATTTGTTGATAAATAATTTCACGTATTTCTTTTTTTCACTCACAAGTTCATCAAAAATACTTATTTGATGTGATAACAATAAGGAAATGAAAAAATCATTGAAATATTGGCGCAATATTGGAAATTACAGACGTAATTACAGCTTGAATGCTACAATAGTCAAGACATCCCATACATATACATTTACATGTAAAAATAATTTTCCAACAACAATAACAACAACAAAATATAAATTTGACTATGTGGTGTAATGACAGATTAAACATGTTGCCTAACGATGCTTAACACCAGAACACCAGATGTTACATTTAGAAACATGTTGTTAAAGGAAACATAATGCTGAAAATGTCACAACCGTTTACATTTAAATATTTCACTTTTTTCAGGCAAGTTACCAGTAAATAAGAAAGAAACGTCACGAAATACCAATAAAGTACTTCGTTTGCCCTTTTGCTATCATATATTTTACACATTTCACTAACAAAAGATCTGTTTTATTTATTTTTTAATTATAATATTCATATATCAATTTATCTGGTTATCTCACCCTTTGGCATTAATAGTTCATGTACGACTAGTAAAGATATAATTAAATGCCATTACAAACAATATCAATTATCGAGAAGTCATTGTTATACAGATCGATTTTCTTTCATCTATTTCCAAAATTCAATGCAGTGCAAATCTTATGAAGGTGATATTAAGTGATGAGTATACAAAGTTAGTTGGTTATTACCACAAATATGTGTCTGCTTAAATGCCCCCGAAATTTGCATTAAGTATTCCTCGAAATATTTGTTTATTTACATCTAACAATACTTAAATATCTCTGGAAACAGTCCAGGGAATGATAAATACCAAATATTGTCATAATAAAACATTTGACCTATAACTGTTTACAAGCCAACTGGTACGTTATGTACATTTACAATAAATAATTCTTCTACAGGTATAAAATCTAAACAAAACATTCAATAATGTCCAAACGAAATGCACTGGCCACCCAGCCTGTTTATAAATTAAGACAAACAAATAAACAAAAGCCTTACAAAAAATAACAAAAATGATATGCAATATAACAGAAATGTATAAAAAACATAATATAAAATCTATTTCAACCTATTCTATCAGAATCTAAACTAATTAATTTTCCGTGATCAATATATGAATAACACGTAAATTCCACAGGAAAAAAATATCTAACAATCTCTAAGTTTACCACACTGTATAAATATGAAACACTTTAGAAGACATTTTGTCAAATAGAAGACAGTGTCTCAAATGTAATTGTTTATGTTACAAAAATAAAGTGGACGTTAGCTTTCTGGAAAAATACACTCTTTTCTTAGGCTAATGGAATCATTCGACCAATCACAACTCTAACCGTAGAGATCTATCATAAATTCAAACGAATCTGTTTTAACTGGCAAGAAGAAGATGATGATACTGGCTTGTTGAAGAATAAGGTCCATTATTTAGACCTAATCCATCGAATAACGCTTTCTGATTCTCGGGCGAGATTTGGAGGGAATTCGCAGATGACTGGCTTCCTATGCTCAATGGTGATTGGCCGGGAGATTGTTGCCCTTGGTGACCTTGGAGAAGTTGGGACTGAGGAGATGGAAGCACAGATTGGCTGCTGGGATGACTACCTGGGGACATCGGAGATGGAACCGGTGACTGAAGCGGCGAAGGACCGGAAAACATTTCATGAAGTGAACCGGACACATGTTGAGTAGAATTACCGATGAAGTGGTGTTCGGATGGAATACCAAGTCGATTTTGTTGTTGCTGAAATTGTTGTTGCTGTTGTTGTTGCAATTGGTAGCTGAGTTGCTGTTGATGCAACATTTGTTGTTGCTGCTGAAATTGTTGTTGAAGCTGTTGCTGATGCTGATTGTGTATGAAACGTTGCTGCTGATCTATGAGAAATTCTACTCTCGGGTCACGTGGTGACAGGGATCGAGAGCGAGGAGGGGTTGTTAATCCAGGGTACTGTACATTATTTGGCACAGCCTTTTGGCGGAAGAAATTTCCAAATTCAGTCGGTGAAAGCCGAGTTGGGCGTTTGGCATTCGACTTAAGTTTTGTAGAACCGAATTTTGTTTGTGCAAATGTTGCCGTTGTGAACAGTTGGTTACCCTGGCGTTTAGGAGCGTACGCTACTGGTGGTGGAGAAGTTGCTCTACTTAATGATGGGAATGGAGCTCCACCGGAAGGAGATGTTGACTGGCTACCTCCCCATGAAGATGATGATACAGGTGAGATATCTGAAGGTGATAAACCACCCGAGTGTGGAGACAGATTGAGAGTACCTAACGAGGCAGAGAGCCTATCAATTGGCTCAAACGACTCCGCATCTGGATTAAACGCCTGAGCCTCAGGATTGAACCCTCGGTTGGTGACCTGCACCTCATGGTCTTCTGTTTCATTATTTTCTTCAAAAGTCTTATCACTGTACAAAATTTTTACCTGTCCCTTTTCCCCTATCCTGTAGGAAACCTCGTTTGGATCAATCCATATGGTCAGTTCTTTAGGTAAATAATCCTGCATCTCGTCCAAGTTCAATCCAACTGAACTTGCCGCCTGTATTATCACGGGATCTATTTTCTCTCCATTTACTCTCACACACCGGAAACCAGACCCTTTGACCGGCTGGTCAGGGTACCAGTGTCCTTCGAATTTCTTTTTCAACCCCTTCTCAAGTTCTGTTCCGAATAAATCCACTCTTCGTCTAGGTAATTTATTGTACAAATAAGATATAACAAAATTTAGCGCAACATTCACTTCCACATGCATCTTGTTTGTATTTTATCACTTATTAATACTGTTTTAACACACAATAAATAACGTTATGAATATCCGTCAGTTTTGTTTCACAACGTCTGTACTAAGTTACTATCAGAACTGCACTATTCCGTTGAAAGTAATATCGCCTACGTTTATATCGTATTATTATTCTTGTTTTCTACGTACAGCATGTAGTGTTGTTGTTTTCATCTCTTGTATCAAGTGAGGATCGATCGATTCACTGTCAGATACTGTATGGCTATTACGCCCCTCCTCTCTACAGATTTATTGCTATATTTAGCTTTGATGACGTATGTGCGTGTCCTTCCAATTTAGAGCGTCATCTAACGGTCGTCTGCCTGAAGAATATAAGAGAATCGATTTAAGAAAATGATAATAAAACACGATAGAGAGAAGATGGTCTCTAACTTTTCAACAGATATTATACAAGTATGTCCTTTCTTGTTCGTATATCTCCCTTTTAAATACAGCTGTTACTAGAAAAGTCGATAACGCCTCGAGTTTTAATTTGTAGAAAGGATATTTCGTGCGACATATTGGTGGTTCATGTATTTAATAATCAATCCCTCTTTATAAACGATGCTTTCAAATCAAAATTTCATATATATCCTGAAGATAACTCTTTGCTCATCCAGTTGAATAAAATCTTACTATTTTCAACATTTCTTCAAATAAACCTCCATATGAAATTTATCACCGATGGATTATAATGTGTTGTCCTAAAAATAAACTAGATCTAATGCTTTATAAGTAATATTGAAATGTTTCCTATAGTAAACATATGACGTACAGTGTTCTAAACGGTCGACTTTCTTTACATTAAAACCTCCTCATTTTAAATCAATTTCACCCAATAAAGTAGGTTGTTTTTGTGTTGTTTTCTCTATTAACGTTTCCCAGGGACATAATTTTCTGTCCTTAGATATCGTTATCAGCGACTGTTTATCTAAACTCAATTACAGCACAAGGCCTATTTTTCGCCATAGCTGTATTTACTAACGAAGGTTTCCGTGTCGGTGAAATTTCAACCAGTGGTCAATCATTTTATCAGACAAACCCCCTGACTAATTCCAAATTTCTCATAATACCTAATGTTATTTGTTGATGTTAATAACCTTGGCGTCGACAACATAATTGAGTTTAAAGACAAGTGCTAGAAGGGCAATAGTTCACACAAAGTGAGAAAAGCTAAAAAAAAAAAACAACAAAAAAATAACATATTAATTAAAGAATGTAGCAATTCCAAAATTGTTCATTTCAATTCACCATTCATATACATTGCTGAAAGAAAAAGAAGTCTAATAACAGTAAAATAGTGATAGTTTTTATTTGTAATAGTCCTTTACTTTTTTACTGTTGGACAATTCAATAATGGTATTTTGCATTTGTGTTGAGGATGGGGCTCTTTAATTCAAAGGGAGCGGGGTGAAGCGGATTAAACTATTTTACAGTGTTAGTTCAACTCGAAGTTTAAAGAAAAAGAATGCTCGTTTTATTTGCTACTATTTACATAATGTGTACATCGGACATTAATCTGTGTCAAATTTGCAAAATGTTATAATAAAAAGTGGAATAAGGACGGAGATTTTAAGATGATAAATTGAAAATATATCAGTTATTTGAAACAGATATTATGAATAAAACTGAAACATGAACATTAAGATATGAGAACATCTTTGACATTACGTTATACATTGTGTGTCTTTAAAAGTTAGAAAAATAAAAAAATCTCGAACCATGGAAAATGCAAGCTGTCGAAAAGAACAAATTTTACGTGAGATTCGTTCTGTAGCTATCTATTTAATGTGGTTTATTTATAGATGTTGTAACACATTTTTATGTCCTTGTAGTTACCTTTTAAACACAATTTGTTTGTCGTCTGTCAGCGTTATCTTGCACGCGACAGAATTTAATGATGTTCATTCGAGCCGCGTCACGACAAAACCAACATAATGGGTTTGCGACCAGCATGGATCCAGACAAGCCTGCGCATCCGCTCAGTCTGATCAGGATCCATGCTGTTCGCTATCAGTTTCTCTACTTGTTATAGGGTTTGTAAGCGAACAGCTGAATCCTGATCAGACTGCGCGGATGCGCAGGCTGGTCTGGATCCATGCTGGTCGCAAACGCATTACGTTGGTTTTGTCATGACGCGGCTCGTTTGTATTTAGATGTATTTACAGTTCTCTATCGTATAAAAGCAATGTATAATGAGCTTCCTACATTAAACATGTTAGGCGTATTAAAAATAAATCAAGATGATAAATGGCGTTATTTTACGTGATCCGACCCTCACTTTAAAATGATGCGAAAAACTGTAAATAGTGCTATTATAATAGATGACAATTAATAATTAACATTATTGTTTTCTATTCATCATGCGTGATCAGTTGTTTTTGAAGAGCATACTCTCAGTGGAATTACAGAGAAATCTATGTAATTCCTAGTTATATGTTGAAATATTTTACATTAATTAGAGCTTGTGCGGTTGCTTGAGTCCCTTAGCGTCTGAGATGTCACTAAAACGAGCCTATATGATTTATAGCCAGTGCGTATGCATAATTCTTGATACAACATTTTCGAACAATCTTAATTGTAAGATTTTAGAAATTCTTAAGCCTAATGTTTTAAAATGCATTTTGATTAGATTTTACATCGAGTCTGGAAACTGGAGAAATGAGGACAGCATTGAAAACATGCCAGGGCGATCATCATGACACTCTTTTCTTTGCACACAAAGTATTTTTTTTTTAATCTACGACCCTATTTTATCTATTCTATTCTATTCTTGAACACTTGAATCTAGTTTATACAGCTGAATTGTAACAAGTTCATATAGTATTAAAATATATTTAGTTGCATACTTAAAACAATAACTCCCCGTGAAGCATCATTACGGCCAGAATATATAAGAACGGTTATTACATCAAACTAGGTCAATTCTTGCTCTGTTGATTATCTAGGTCACCTCTAAATACCGTCATAACCTTTGAACGGTAACGAAACAATTAAAATATTACCATTATTGTCACGGAAAATAGAAATTCTATCTAATTTTCTAACAATTACTATCCGTTTCATATTACTGATAATTATATTTCCTCGAGTTTTATTCCATGGTACAAATGTATATAACAGTATTCTATGATATCAAATGTCATTGTGTCAAGGTCGTTTCATGGTGGTATACGTGAAAGCTTGCATTCACCATTACTCAACTGGCTCAGGTAAAGATGCTTCCTGCAGGGACATTAAAAAGTTATCACCAAATTGCATGACTGAAACACTTAGATAATGATTCCTCCAAGAAATGTAAATGAATTAAATGTGTATTTGCTATTTTATTTAAAATCCGGAGATAAATTTCACAAGACCATTACAGTAAAGTATACGACCATGTCTTGATGATAATTTTTCTGGTTATTCCAGCACGTAAATGTGGTTGAAGGTTAAATACCGCGTAAGCCGGTGCTAAGGGGCGTGAGGTATATTGGACGTTTACATTATCGCTCATGAACAGACTCCAACAAACCGGGTTTGCAATTTTCATATTATATAATTAAGGGATTACCCCGTTTCAAGATATTTACACATATATACATGAATTAACGAGTTCATTCATGCGAATTCACTTTTCTTTGACCAGAAGTGTCGTAATAATAGTTCCCATACTTTTTTATCACCTTTTTAAAAGTCCAAGAAAAGTAGTACTTTAAACAATAATGATTATGGAAAATGATAGTTGCCTGATCACATTTGTAACACCAATATTTGGTCATTTGGTCAAGGCCACTGAGGAGGCTATTTATTGATGACTGCTTATTAAATGACTGTCATAATATACATAACTGGTAAGAGTAAACGAATGTCTTTGTTACACTAAGGTGTAGTTTATCACTGTATCCTGTTTTGTGCATGGGTAACAAAAAAGGTAAGATCATAGCCAATTGGCAGCTTGGACATGGAAAGTGCAACATAAAGTCTAACTTATATATTATACAGACTGGTGGACTTCCTTTATAAATGTTATACCATAAGTGACCAAATCAATACTATTGAAATATATATTTTAAGGGTCGTGATTTAATAAAGGAATTCTATCAGAATTTCCAGAAGATATTCAGATGTTCAACAATCAGATGACCTTTAAGCAAATAACTTTTATTTACACAGCCAGATAGCATGAGCCGTTCAAAGATCCGACGTAAAGGAAATACTAGCAAACGTCAAGGAAATGTATGATAAAAAAAAACTGTCAATAGAATTTATTATGGTCCCATGGCAACAATCCTTTTCACATCGATTTATATTTATGGTAACACATTTTGTTACAATGTTTCTGTCAACATTGTGTACAGACTTTATGTCGTTTCTTCGGGGTTTTATGATACAAATACAAAGAATATTTTAATTGATTTCTATTTTATATATTTTTTTTTCATTTTGCATTGACTCTGAAAACATGACGCAAATATATGAAACAAGACAGTGTTTAACAACAACATTCCATTAAATGTCCGTTTACTGAATGTATGTTGTATCATAGTTTGGAGACCTTTCTGTTGAAAATGTGTCAGGGTTAAATCGTATACATATACATGCACAGTGCGTTAACTGGAGTGCGGGTATTAGTTACCCGCACTCCAGAGCATGCCCATTGATTGGCTCATTTTTGCTGGGGTTTACATATTGTGACGGCAGAGAAAGGGAAAGCGACAGAAATGTCATATCCAGATGTTCGTTCATTGGTTCATTTTTGCCGGGGTTTCATATTGTGATACAGGGAACGTGCTTTTATGTTTGACTATGATACAAAAGAGAAAGAACACCAAAACACTCGGCAATCTGATTTATACTCGGGGGCTACGCCCCCTCGTACAAATCAGATAGCCTCGTGTTTCGGTGCTCTTTCTATTACTTATCAGCCAATGTGGTAAAATAAACGTATAATATACTGTATATCGTGTTTAAAACAAATCTATTGAGTTCATTGGTACCCTTATATTATATAAACCGTAATATAATTAGCAGTTTACGATCAGAGAAATCAATAGATTCCTTAACTCATAGTGTAAGTTAGCGTTCATTCGGAAGCATTTACAAAATTAAATTGGTCAAGAGCGGCGCAATATGTACTAATTTCTAGAATATTGACAAAAAAATAATAATTGTAATAAAACTACATTGTAATATTAAAAAGCAATAAAATAGCACAATTGTTATGAATTGCAGAATTGAAAAAATAATGGCAGCTCGCACTACGAGTGTATCAAAAATGAGCATGGACAGCGATGTATCTTATTACAAGAATAATATTAGATAAGTATAATGCAAGTAT